AAATTAGCGGCACTGTCCCTGGGAGGCTCAACAAGCTGAAAGCTCGCCATAAGATTGCTAACCAAATCAATGTCAAGCACAAATATAATAGCGTGGCTCGGTTCGTGAGTTGTGGCAGCGTGCTTCAAAAAATGGTGTTTTTATAATAGCATATATCTAATTAACCCTTGATTCTAAGTAGAACAAGCAACAAACCAAAGTTTGAACATACTCTTGCTCAGATGGCATTTATTTTGAATGTCAAGGTTTTAGATGTGAAACTTGGTGAGTAAAATTTTGAACATACTCTTGCTCATATTTAAAAGTTTGATTTTTCTAATTTCTGCCATCACTGTATTGATATTTAAATTGAAAACTTTGTCAGTAATACGCTAATAGCATGCACTGAGTTAATTAGTGGGAGCCAGGACGCGTTGGGATTTGGGAAAGGTAGCTAATGTTTGCAACTTCGGTCGTTGAGGCATCCCAACTCCCAAGTTGCCAACGGGCGCCACCACACCTCCCCCGTCCTCTCTGTTGGCTTCCCTATCAGCTTTCATCTCTGTTTTTATACTCCAAAATAATTTGGCGCCCACTAGGCCAGTATGGTTTCTCACCCAGACGGCGAGATACTGCCAACGTTTCCTTATTAAATTGAGCAAATTTAGCGTCTCTGACCGATTAGGCTGACAACTACTCCCGCATCGCGTCCGCACATGCTCCGGCGTCCGAGCCCGCCCACCCCGTGCCGCGCGCGCCCCGATGGTTGCGCCGCTCACGCCCGGGTCTCTGCGGCGCCGCTGGCCTGAGCCAGCGCGTTCTTGTCGAACTCGTCCACGTCTTTTGTCTACCTCGAGGTTCAAGAAAAAAAAGAAAAAGCTATGGCACTTTATGTTTTCTGTGTTGCACAGATTATATATGTTGTGGTTGCTACTGGTTGTAAGGTTCTAATTAGCTTTAAGTGAAGGCTTGGGTCCTTCACCTTATTTGCCTGTACCTGTAGGAGACAACTATTTAGTTTTTGTATATGTTTCAAGCACGCGTTTTTTTGTCACTTGAATTTGTCTGATCAAGAACCGAATTTATCAATGAACAAGGAGTGTCCAGAGGTTTCAAATTCAAAAATGAATTTCACATTTTGGTTTGCATTGCAGTCAGCTGGTATTTTTAATCTTTTTTTAATAAAAGTTTCCTGTCAGAATAAGGGTGTTGGCTTGTCTTTTTTTCTCCCTTGCGAATAAAGATTTGACTGTTCAATCACACGGCACTGTTCTTTTCTGTTTTCCGCTCAAGCAGAGCAGAGAGAATGGAGGCGCAGAGCATGAGGCTTTTGGAAGGGTTTCGAGATTGGAGCGGTACGCCACATCGGTGGCCTTTTTTGTGTGGTGGGCGAGTTATCTCTGGTCCGTACTGCCTGCATGTTCTATGTCAACACGTCTTCTCTGTCATATATATCCTCCTCATTATAATATCGTTCCTAGTATTTTCCGACTCGACGAGACAGATGAAGAAGAGCACGGAGAGGATGGTAATTGCAGCAAACAACTAGGACGTGAACGTGTTATATGCATGATGGTGCCTGGATATACGCAATGTTTTGATGATCGGTTAACTTACTGCTGCTTGTTGTTGTAATATATTGTACTGTCGGAAGATTGTTCCTCTTCTTTATTTTTGAAAGCAAAGATTGCTCTTCTTTAACATAATATGTATTTTTTCCTACTAAAGCTTATACTAGCACTATATTGGCCCCGTTCGCTTTGCTGAAAAAACAAGCAAAAACACTGTTCCGGCTGATTTGTTGTGAGAGAAAAACACTGTTTCAGCTGAAAAAACAAGCTAAAAAAACGGATTATAAGATAAGCGAACAGGGCCATATGAACTATGCTTTATTAGAATAACGCCTCGGTGTGGACATAATAGCGTATAGGCCCGTCTGAACTAGAAATATTACATTGGAATAGTAATTAATTGAATATTTCTATCTATATCTATATCTATCTATATACCTAATATTAAAGAGGCAAAATTTCTCTCCACCCATTTTTTCCGGTCCAGCCTCCCCTAACTAACTCCATGAATGTGGAGATTCTCTCTCTTTAATTCTGTCTCTAACTCTCTTATATACCCTGTTTTACTGTTCACAGTTCCATCCTTTTTCCATTGATTGATGTTTCTTCCGAGCCGGCTGTTCCTATTTTCTTTTTTTTTATCTACGTTTCTTCCGAGCTGGCTGTTCCGAATTTGTTTTCTTTTTACTTTAAAGGAAGTCACAGACTTCATGAGAGATTAGATTTACAATGTTTTATAAATTTTAAAGGAAGTCACAGACTTGATATGTAAGTACCGACGCATGGATAACATGAATATTAATGTTATAAATTAATAGGTCAATGTGCATTGCAATGGGAGAAAAAATCTCAGGTTATTTTAATTTCACACAACCTTTATAGGTTACCAGCATTAACTTAAATTATGAATGTCATAATCACCGTAGACTAATAACAATAGAGCATTAATTTAATAGATCCCCCATTGCAATGTAGGGTGACAGACTTTTAGCTGGTGTCAACGCGGAGCGAGGCTATGCAATCTATGTCTATAGGTAGTTAGACACACTAAGGATGATAGAGGGCAGGGGTGAGAAAACTACGAGTGATCGGTCGCTGACTTGGAAGATGAAAGCGGGTAACTATCCGTTGCAACGCACTACACTATACAGAAACGAAGGTGGGAAAAGACGGAAATAAGGGACTTCCTATATTTCAGAGATTTGAGACGATTTTTGGTAACAATCTACAACCAACTAGTACAACTAAAATAACAACTCACAAGAGATAATTCAAAAAAATTCTCTAAGTAGCCTGAACAACTGGCAGGGAAGAGAGATGATAAAATTTCAATCTTGACAGTTGATCTGAAGTAGTACAGCTAACAGCTGTCCAGTGCTAGTATCTTTCACTAATTAAACGGAGTTTGTCTGACAGTCAGACTGACACACTATGTGCCATTACTTGGACAGCGAGGCTGATCTTCAATATCTATGCAAGGGATCTGGAGCTGATCCTGGCTACCTTATCTTTTGTGTGAAAATATTACTTTATTGTTTGCACCTCACATGCCTCTTCGCTCAAGACTAGTGTGATGGCTTTAAACAAGTTTCTGAGTCACATTAGCTAGTTGGACAAGGATTCCACGCGGCAGGTAGCCAGCCAAAACACTGTTCCGGCTTATTTATTGTGAGAGGAAAAACACTGTTCCGGCTGAAAAAAAAGACGGATTATAAGAGAAGCGAACATGGCCATATGAACTATGCTTTATTAGAATAACGCCTTGGTGTGGACATAATAGCGTATAGGCCCGTCTGAACTAGAAATATTACATTGGAATAGTATTTAATTGAATATTTCTATCTATATCTATATCTATATCTATCTATATACCTAATATTAAAGAGGCAAAATTTCTCTCCACCTATTTTTTCCGGTCCAGCCTCCCCTAACTAACTCCATGAATGTGGAGATTCTCTCTTTAAGTCTGTCTATAACTCTCTTATATACCCTGTTTTACTGTTCACAGTTCCATCCTTTTTCCATTGATTGATGTTCTTCCGAGCCGGCTGTTCCTATTTTCTTTTATTTTTATCTACGTTTCTTCCGAGCTGGCTGTTCCGAATTTGTATTCTCTTTTACTTTAAAGGAAGTCACAGACTTCATGAGAGATTAGATTTACAATGTATTATAAATTTTAAAGGAAGTCACAGACTTGATATGTAAGTACCGACGCATGGATAACATGAATATTAATGTTATAAATTAATAGGTCAGTGTGCATTGCAATGGGAGAAAAAAATCTCAAGTTATTTTAATTTCACACAAGCTTTATAGGTTACCAGCATTAACTTAAATTATGAATGTCATAATCACCGTAGACTAATAACAATAGAGCATTAATTTAATAGATCCCCCATTGCAATGTAGGGTGACAGACTTTTAGCTGGTGTCAACGCAGAGCGAGGCTATGCAATCTATGTCCATAGGTAGTTAGACACACTAAGGCCTCGTTCACTTTGCAAAAAAAGTGAACCCGATGAATAGTATCACTTTCGTCTTATTTGGCAAATATTGTCCAATCGTGGACCAACTAGGCTCAAAAGATTCATCTCGTGATTTTCAACTAAACTGTGTAATTAGTTATTTTTTTTTACCTACATTTAATACTCCATGCAAGCGGCTAAAAATTGATGTGATGGAGAGAGTGAAAAAACTTGAAGTTTGGATGGCATCTAAACAAGGCCTAAGGATGATAGAGGGCAGGGGTGAGAAAACTACGTGCGAGCGGGCGCTGACGCGTAGGAAAAGATAGGCAGGTAGCTAATGTTTGCAACTTCGGTCGTCAAGGCATCCCAACTCCCCAAGTTCCCAACGGGCGCACCACACCTCCACTGTCCTCTGTCTTGGCTTCCCTATCAGCTTTCATCTCGGTTTTATACTCAAAATAATTTGCCGCCCAGACGGCCAGATACTGCCACCGTTTCTCCTTGTTAAATTGAGCAAATGCATCTCTGGCCGATTAGGCTGAAGTACTTCGCCAAATCGACGCGCCCTGTGCGATAAACCTCGATGATCTCATATATGCATGCCACCGTCTCCTTATTATTTGCATGGAAAGCTTAGCCTATACTATGGTTCTTCGAGAAAGAAATATTCACCCAGACAGTGCGCATCACATGCTACGTTCTTCCCGTGGTAAAGCCTGCCGACATAGCATGATAGAACTTTAATAAAGATGCTGCTCTGAGTCACGTTTACATGGCTATGTGTGCAGTAGCTCTTTTACTAAAGCTAAGCTTAATACTTAATTATTTTTCGTGGATCTAGAGGACCAAAGACAATTAACCCACTGCTACTCTTCCTTGAGAAACAGGCGTTGCCCTGCACCTCATACAATACACGATCTGAAATCAGTGCTTTTCCACAGCACCACCACCGCATTCCAGCGAGCTCACCAGATGAGCAAAAATGGCTACGGTAGCTGTCGTGGGTGTTACCACCGGGGTGATGAAGCCCCTCCTGTCCAAGCTCACCAAGCTGCTGGAAGAAGAGTACGTCAAGCTCAAAGGTGTCCGCAAGCAGATCAAGTTTTTGAGAGACGAGTTGAAGGCCATGAGTCCCACGCTTGAGATGCTTGCGGATGCAGAGGAGCTCAACCCTCCGATGACGGCATGGAGGGACAAGTTACGTGAGCTGGCATATGACTTGGAAGATTGCATTGATGCCTTCATATCTCGTGTTGACCACGAGCGTGATGGACATTCGGGATTCATCAAGGGATTCTTCCGCAAGCTGAAGAAACTGAAGCAACGCCATGATATTGCCAATCAGATCCAAGAACTCAAGGCATCTGTTATAGAGGCAAGCGAGAGGCACAAGAGGTATGATTTGGCCCAACTGAAAAACAAATCTAGCAGTTCTTCTGTTGATCCTAGGCTGCAGGCTCTCTACGAGGATATTGATAAACTTGTGGGCATCAATGCCCCTAAGAAGCAAATCATTGAGTTGTTAAGCATGGAGATGAATGGGTCATCTGCAAAACTTAAAGTTGTCTCAATTGCTGGTTGTGGAGGTCTTGGTAAGACTACTCTTGCAAAGCTAGTCTATGAGGACATTAAAAACCAGTTCAAATGTGCAGCATTTGTGTCGGTTTCTCGAACTCCGGATGTCAGGAAGATTCTAATACACATTGCTAACGGAATCAAGTGCACTGATATCATCACAAAGGATGATGATGAGCAGCAGCTCGTTAATAAACTCAGGGAACACCTCCACGATAAAAGGTAAGCCGCGTCATCTACATATCCAAGTTATGTTAAAATTGTGTACATGAAGGTGGAACAGAGTAAATATTCATATTCAACATATCATGTCAAAAGAAACCTTCATCACTGTACTTTGCTTGTATATCCCAGAGTTGGGGGTAAGTCTTTATGTTCCAATGTCCAGATTTTAAAGCTCTTAAGTCACAATTTGCACTAGCTCTAGCAGTTAGAATACAAAGAAGGCATTAATAGTATGGTCAAATTAAACTATTTTTAGCAGTTTTGTCTGTCAATCCAAGTAGTAGACCAGTAGAGTTATGGGCAGTTTCATCACTATTTCTAGTTTTAGTACATTTCATAGATCATATAGGAATTCATATAGATATTGTTGGCAAATTTTTGAAATATTTTATTGCACGCATTAAAATAATATCACTTTTTATGATGTGCAAGAGTACCATCTCTATTTAGGTTCCTATCATCATTCATCAACTTATCAGCAATAGCTGATGCATACAATTTTAATGCTACGGTCTTTGACCACTGATTGCATCTTTGTTAAAATAATCTGTGGTAGGTACATTGTTGTGATTGATGATGTATGGAACGAACAAGATTGGGGATTTATCAAACTTGCATTACCGGATAATGATCTTGGGAGCAGAATAATCACGACGACACGTAGTGTTACAGTTGCAAAATGTTGTTCTTCTCAAGTTTATGAAATGGAGGCTCTTAGTTTTGATGACTCCAAAAGGTTGTTCTTCAGAAGAGCATTTGGTTCTGAGAATTCATGTTATCCTCACTTGGAAGATGTTCCAGACAAAATATTAAGAAAATGTGGTGGTCTACCATTGGCAATTGTTACTGTATCTGGCATATTAACCAATGTGTTTGCAAAAACAGAATGGGACAGGGTACTTAATGCTATTGGTTCTTCACTTGCAAAGAAAGATGATACTAAGACGATGACCAGTATCTTATCTATGAGTTACTTTGATATTCCTCACCATCTAAGAACTTGTTTGTTGTACTTGAGTGTGTACCCAGAAGATCACAAGATTGAGAAACAATGTTTGATCAATAGGTGGATTGCAGAAGGGTTCATTCATAAGGAAAAAGGTCAAAATGAATATGAAACTGGTGAGCGTTACTTCAATGATCTGATCAACAGAAGCATGATCCAACCTGTTAGAGTAAAGTATGGTCAGGCGAAGGCATGTCGAGTGCATGACATCATCCTTGACTACATCAAATGCAAGGCTGCTGAGGAGAATTTTGTAACTTCATTAGATGCTGCAGAGCCTGTATACACTTCAGAGTACAAGGTTCGTAGGCTTTGTGTCATCAACCACAATGAAGAAAATGTTACTTTATGGGCAGACGAGATCTTGTCTCAGGTTCGTTCAGTTACTATATTTGGACAGCCTGTGAAATTCACTTTGTTGCCTTCCACTGCTCTTCGTGTGTTGGAACTAGGAGATTGCAGAGGCATGGGAGGCCATCATATTGCGAGTATTGGGAAGTTGTTTAATCTTAAGTACTTGCGTCTCTGCTCACATTTCATAACTAGGCTCCCAGAGAATGTTGGTGAACTACAACATCTACAAACACTGGATGTGCGAGGTACCATAATCGAAGAACTACCACGAACTATAAAAAAACTTCAACAACTGGCACATTTATATGTTGATTCAGATGTTAGATTTCCAGATGGAATTATTGGGCAGATACTTAGCTTGGAAGAGTTGAGGCAGTATGGAGTTGTATCCTATGAGCAAGGGCAGTCCCTACAACAATTCAGCAAACTCACCAAGCTGAGGACACTAAAAATTAAATGGAGTTTTAAGTTACCAGATGGCTCTGAAGGAAGAAGCCAAGCCGAGGGCATTCACAATTATGTTGGAAATTTATTATTTTCATGCAACCTCCATAACCTTATATATACCGTGGAATGGGACTTCGATGTAAAGTACCCTATGGCGCTACATTCATGGCACCCTGCAGCCTCCTGTAGCATCCGCAAGCTCTGCATTGAAAGAATTCCCATCTATAGGGTGCCAAATTGGATGGGATCACTTGTAAACCTCAGTATGCTAAAACTGGAGGTCATGTGTGTGCGACCAGAAGATGTTGAGATCCTTGGAGAAATACCCAGTTTGCTTTTTCTCGACCTAGACACTTGGGGGGGCACTGGCGGAAGGATCGTCTTCCCTGGCAACAGCGGATTCGGAAGTCTAAAATATTTCTCCCTGTGTATCGATAAGTGTGGGACCTCCCTGGAGTTTGAAGCGGGATCAATGCCAAAGCTTGAGCACGTGGAGCTTAAGTTCAATGCGCATGAGATGGAGTGCCTGAACGGTGCTTCTAGTTTGGGCATCCAGCACCTCTCGTCTCTCAACAAGGCTGAGATAGAAATTTGGAGCGACTGGCGTGGGTATGATCATGATGACACTGCCCAATGTATTTCAAGAGCCATTAATGCTGCCATCGATACACTTCCCAACCGTCCCACTGCCAGCTTCAGAAGAGTACATAGCTACTGTGAAGATTTTGAATCCGTAAGTTCCCTCACAGAACAACATGCATTGATGGTTCCATCAACCTCTCAGTTGCTGCAACCACATACTCCTTTCTTCCATTTAGCAACTAGTCCTACTTGGCTGTGCAGTTAAATAGTTTATTTCGACTCTCTTGTTTATATTCCGTTTCCACTTCTCTTCTAGCTGCGGCCAATGCATACTTCTTTCTTCCATTTAGCATATATATATACCTGGCCGTTCAATTGAGCAGTTTGTTTTTTTTTCTCTTTCAGTTTTTGAGGGAGTTGAATCAAAATCATGAGGGGTTATTCAATGAGTGGCTCAAACTTTGGCAAATTAGAGAGGAGCAGGCGAACCAACCTACTGATGGAGAGACTGAACTAGAGGTATCAAATAAAGGTTCACTAGGGTACCAGTCAGTTTTACATTCATGAGATCCCATTTTCCCCACCAAATTCATCTTCTTTTTCCAAGCAGGATGAGACACATGAAAAGGAAGAAGAGGAGCAGACTGGTGAAAAAGAAGTGGCACATCAAGAGGACAGTGGTAGCAGCAATTAGAATGTGATATTAGTCTGCATGAGGTGGATTTGTTGGCTACTTTGATCTTGGGCATTTGCCTGATGAACGTGTCTCGTATCTACCTCGAAGTTCAATAAAAAAACAGCTGTGGAACTTCATGTTTTCTACGTTGCTCTGGATTGCAGATTTGCTTTGCTGTGGTTGCTACTGGTTGTAAAATTCTAATTAGTTTCCAATGAAGGCTTGGCACATTCACATTTGCCTGGAGCGGACACATATTACGCTTTTGTTTGTATCAGGCACACATATTTTGTTGTCACTTGAATTTATCTCATCTAAAACGAGATTTATCAATGAACCAGAGTCTGGAGGTTTTAAATACAAAAACTAATTTTACATTTTGATTTGTAATACAACCGGAAGGCCACTGCATCACCTGCATGCTTTCACAAATCACAACACAGAACATCCAGCAGCAGAGCAATGGCGGAGGCTGCTCTGTTGAGCGTCTCCACGGGGGTGTTGAAGCCGCTCCTGTCCAAGCTCACCACACTGCTGAGCGACAAGTACGTCAAGCTCAAATGGGTGCGAAGGCAAATCAGCTTCTTGCGAGACGAGCTGAGCACGATGAGCGCCACACTCCAGATGCTTGTAGATGCAGCAGAGGATCTCAACCCCCAGATGAGAGACTGGAGGGACAAGGTACGTGAGCTGGCCTAGGACCTACGGGATTCAGCCTCCTTCAGAGGCTCAACAAACTGAAAGCTCGCCATAAGATTGCTAGCGAAATCAAAGTCAAGCACAAATATAATGGCACGGGCACGGTTCGTGAGCTGTGGTGGTCTGCTTTAAAAATGGTGTTTTTGTAATAGCATATATCTAATTAGCCCTTGATTCTAAGTAGAACAAGCAACAAACCAAAGTTTGAACACACTTGCTTAGATGCGAAACTTGGTGAGTAAAATTTTGAACATACTCTTGCTCATATTGAAAAGTTTGATTTTCTAATTTCTGCCATCACTGTATTGATTTTTAAATTGAAAACTTGGTCAGTAATACGCTAATAGCATGCACTGAGTTAATTAGTGGGAAAGGTAGCTAATGTTTGCAACTTCGGTCATTGAGGCATCCCAACTCCCAAGTTGCCAACGGGCGCCACCACACCTCCCCCGTCCTCTCTGTTGGCTTCCCTATCAGCTTTCATCTCTGTTTTTATACTCCAAAATAATTTGACGTCCACTAGGCCAGTATGGTTTCTCACCCAGACGGAGAGATACTGCCAACGTTTCCTTATTAAATTGAGGAAATTTAGCATCTCTGACCGATTAGGCTGAAAACTACTCCTGCATCGCATCCGCACATGCTCCGGGGTCCGGGGTCCGAGCCCGCCCACCCCGTGCCGCGCGCACCCCGATGGTTGCGCCGCTCACGCCCCGGCGGCCGCGCCCCGGTGGCCTCCGTTTCCGCCCTGCTCCGCAGCACGGACGCCGCGGTCTCTGCGGCGCCGCTGGCCTATGACTTGGAAAGACCGCGTTGATGCCTTCATGTCTCGAATTTGGGCATTTGGCTGATGGAACGTGTCTTGTGTCTACCTCGAGGATCAAGAAAAAAAGAAAAAGCTATGGCACTTTATGTTTTCTGTGTTGCGCAGATTATATATGTTGTGGTTGCTACTGGTTGTAAGGTTCTAATTAGCTTTAAGTGAAGGCTTGGAGAAAATTGGCTATCTGCCATTGCAAACAATGGGCTTCGCAAAATTGCCATCCAAGAGATTGACTTCGTAAAATTGCCAATCTAAACATGTTTACCTTGATTTTGTTGCCATACTCCCTATTTAGTTGCTTTGTTAATATTTTTTTGGGAATCCCTTTCATGTGAAAAGACATTGTTGCCCTTCTGCTTAATTGACGTGAAGAGATGAGATCGAGACTATTCGCATCGTACGAAAGCACTCGCAAACGAAGAACCGCCGCTCGCGTGCCTTAGACATCCACGATGCAGGGCGGCCGCGACGCGGCACCGCCGGCGCACGCGCTCGCCGCCGCCACACAACCACCCGTGCTCAGCGCCGCCACGCCGTCCACCCGCGCTTGCCGCGACCACGGTGGCCGTCAGCACGACCATGGAGGAACTCGGAGCGACCTCGGCGGCCGTCGGCACGACCACGGTGGAACTCAGAGCGACCTCGCCGCCCCTCGTCGCGGCCCCGACAGCAAGCGCGCTCATCTTGCTACAGGCGGCCGACACGCTCGGCAGGCTAGATGCAGCCCCAACGTCCCGCGCCCCACCGGGTCCGAGTCCGTCCCTCGTGGTGGACGCACCGGCGTCGACCGTAAACTGCAAACGATATTTGGTTTAGGTTTGATATGGAGGTTGATGATCCTATACCACAAGTTGACTGGAACAACTTGCAGATAGTAGAGTCACACGATGAGGAAGGAAGAATTGAACTTTTGAGTGAAAATCAAATATCTGTGTTTTTAGGCTCAATTTATGCATGTGAGATGAACTCATTTATACTCAGCTTATGGATTCGGATGTGAACTCATTTTATTCTCAATTTATGAATTTGTGTGACAGACATAGGCGTGCATGTATTCTAATTATATTGTCCACCTGATTGTTTTTTTTTTCAAAAACCGGCCAAATGCATGCACGGTAGCTCGTACAGAAGCATGCAGGCCATTAGATTCGGATATCAGCTGATCTGCCTGACGTCTGACGCAGCCAAGGTGCGAAGGGTGATCCGCCCGACGTCTCCCGGCAGCCAAGGGCAGAAATGTCTTTTCATGTGGAGGACGAATAAAAAAAAGAAACAAATGAGCTAAATATGAATTATGGCAACAAAAACAAAGTATACATGTTTAGGTTGGTAATTTTGCGAAGTCAATCTTTTGGATGGCAATTTTACGAAGCCCATTGTTTGGAATGGCAAATAGCCAATTTTCTCAAAGGCTTGGGTCCTTCACCTCATCTGTCTGTACCTGTAGGAGACAACTATTTAGTTTTTGTATATGTTTCAAGCACGTGTTTTTTTGTCACTTGAATTTGTCTGATCAAGAACCGAATTTATCAATGAACAAGGAGTGTCCAGAGGTTTCAAATTCAAAAATGAATTTCACATTTTGGTTTGCATTGCAGTCAGCTGGTATTTTTAATCTTTTTTAATAAAAGTTTCCTGTCAGAATAAGGGTGTTGGCTTGTCTTTTTTTCTCCCTTGCGAATAAAGATTTGACTGTTCAATCACACGGCACTGTTCCTTTTCTGTTTTCCGCTCAAGCAGAGCAGAGAGAATGGAGGCGCAGAGCATGAGGCTTTGGAAGGGTTTCTAGTCGAGATTGGAGGCGCAGAGCATGGCCTTTTTTGTGTGGTGGGCGAGTTATCTCTGGTCCGTACTGCCTGCATGTTCTATGTCAACACGTCTTCTCTGTCATATATATCTTCCTCATTATAATATCGTTCCTAGTATTTTCCAACTCGACGAGACAGATGAAGAAGAGCACGGAGAGGATGGTAATTGCAGCAAACAACTAGGACGTGAACGTGTTATATGCATGATGGTGCCTGGATATACGCAATGTTTGGATGATCGGTTAACTTACTGCTGCTTCTTGTTGTAATATATTGTACTGTCGGAAGATTGTTCCTCTTCTTTATTTTTGAAAGCAAAGATTGCTCTTCTTTAACATAATATGTAATTTTTAAAATTTATTAGATTTTAACTTATTAGATTTTAAAATTTGAACTTTTGAGTTTTTCAAATGACATAGGATCCTGACATGTTCTATATTAAGTTGTACTCTCACCATTCCAAACCAGAAGACGTTTTCGCTTTTCTAGATACATAGATTTTGCTATCCAATTAGATATACACTACATCTAGATACATAGTAAAATAATGTATATAGAAAAGCTAAAACATCTTATAATTTAGAATATAAGGAGTAACTCTCAATACGATGTACAACTTTATTTTTGATATTTTTTATATATATGAGATCGTTTAGAGACCCAAATATTACTAGGTTCTTAGATTTTGGAATTCAAATTCTTAATTTTTTTAAGGATATTGATATGGTTTATATACCAAAGTTGTTGCTATAAATTTGATCTACAACTTAGTAGTTGATACTTTTTATACGAGATCATTTAGAGGTTCAAATATGCGTTTTAATTTCTCACATTTCAAAATTCATTTGTTTTTAATTTTTCAAATGATCTTGGATATTGATATTCTCTATACCAAAATTCCAAATGCAATCTACAACTTTCTACTTGATAATTTTTCATATATGAGATCATCTAGAGGCTCAAAATTCATTTTAGTTTCTTATATTTAAAATAATTATTCTTGATTTTTTCAAAGAACCTGAGACATTAACATGGTCTGTACCCAAGTTATAGATAACAATGTGATCTAAAACTTTGTGGTTGAAAACCTTTTTCCATATCCTTTATAGTTCAAATATTCATTTTAAGTTCTCTAATTATGCAATTATATTTTTTGAACTGACATAGACGTGCTATATACCAAATTGGTATTCCTTGAAGACATCTAAAACTTTTTAGTTAATATTCTTTTCCATTTAAAATCTTTTAAGAGCCTAGGTATTTAATAAAGCTGGCATGAACCCCCCTAAAAGATATCTGGGGTCACATGCTAAAACCACTGCGAAAACCACTATGTACTATTTTTAGGGGGACAAAAAGTTAAGGTGGGTAAGTTGTTCAATCTTTGAGTTCTTCAAGGATAGAGAGGCAAATAGGACTGTATTCTTAATTAAATGATTTCTTTCTTCTGACACTGTATTGTGTTTGGGTTGCGTTTTAATTTTTGTGCAGGTCCCTTGGCAGCGCCTAGAACTGGCAAATGGGCTGAGAGGGTGGACCAAAATCTGGCGTAGTGAGTTGGCGCAGACAGAGCAACTGAGCAAGAAGTGTTGGATTTAATTGAAATTGACCAATTTTATTTAGCAATTAAACCAAAGGAAACTTCAAGAGCAGAATTAATGCTAGGTGAAATTTATGATGTGTTAGTA